CTACAGCTACCTGAAAGGGGGTTGTAGTGACGAGGATGTTGGTCCCTTCTCCCAAGTAACTAGCGATAGGATGAGAGGAAATGGCCTCAAGTTGCGCCAGGGGAGGTTTAGACTAGATATTAGGAAAAATGTCTTTACAGAGAGAGTGGTTAAGCATTGGAACAGGCTGCCCAGGGAGGTGGTGGAGTCACCATCACTGGAAGTGTTCAAAAAACGTGTGGATGTGGCGCTTCGGGACATGGTTTAGGGGGCATGGTGGTGTTGGGTTAATGGTTGGACTTGATGATCTTGAAGGTCCTTTCCAACTTAGTGTTCTGAGATTCTGTGATTCTGTGTGACCATCCACAGGATACATATGCCAAACTCTTGCACTGCATTGTTGGAGACTTCATTGAGACAGGAATATTATATACTGACAATTATTCTGCAGAAGTCTCTCCTTTTCTGTCAGACTGCAGTTTTAACTTCCAGAGTGAAAGGATTACAGGTACAGCCACAAGGAAACTCAAAACCCCAAACCATGCTCAATCAGATTAGGAATCATTTGTGATCAAGTTTTGTCATTTTATGCCAAAAGTGACTAAGATGGTCTGTTCAAAGCCCTGCAAGATATTTAAGCACTCAGTTCACACTAAAAAAGTGAGCTGTGCACTCACCTCCACCTGACTCTTGTTAATAGAGTTCTAAAATATCTTAAAGGAGATATATGAATTTGTGTGTGGAAAAACAATAGGGAAAGCGAGAAGTAACGAGATGGAGGAAGGGGAAGCAGGGTAGATAGAACATTTTCCTCTGTTGTACCTTTTCTTCTTCCTCTGCTTCCATTATAAAAAAGAGGGTTCCATATAGCAAATGGAAAAGGTAAAGGGTGAAAATGAGGTGAGTTTTTCTTATTTGTCAAACTGGCAAATTAAGGCACCATCTACAACAGTGGCTCGAATTCTGCTGGTTGTTACTACACCATGTTTTCTACCCTTGAGTTAACACTGACTTTAGTACGGCATCTATGGAAATACTATGAACATAGTCTTTTTTTCCCCATTGACTTTTCACTGATCTGTAGCTTAAGCAGCTACCAATATATACCAGCTTAAAGGGTGTACAAATACACTTTTATTTGGCAATGTTTTGTGCTTATGTGTAAAGATCATAAGGTGTACTGAGGAATAAATTCCATGTTTTATGAATGGAGAATAATATCTGTTTCAGAAATTACTAAACCTGTTTTGATTAATAGAAGAACAAAATAACTTTTAAGAGTTTTCCTGGGACAAAAAGGAACACTACCAGTCACACTTGCCAGAAGACCATTCTATGCAAAGTTTTATATGTCTTCATGTTCCTTGACACAAATTGACTGAGAAAGAATAGTAAAAAGTTATTTTGCTATTTGGTTTTGGCATGCTTGTATTTTGCTTTAAAGTATATGCTAATAGGCATTGTCAGAGAAAGGATATTGAAGTAAAAAAGATTACTGGTGTAAAGTGTGACAGCAATTCCTCTGTTCATAAGTGCCTGTGTTCTAGGTGGAGAATAAAGGAATAAAAATGATGAGTGTCCATCTCATCTGCTAATAATTTAGGCAACAAAAATTATAGTCATTAACATTTTGAAAATTATTAACCTGAGATTTATTAATTTTGGAAAACATGAGTCACAAGAAGAGCTCTTGAAGAGATAATTCACTCTGTGGACAGCAAATCAACAAAATGGATCATCACTTCATGGTCTGCATTTTTCTAAACTTCTCTAAGTTCACACACAAGAATAGATACATTATTTCTTATACCTAAAAAAATTACTTTACTAAGAAAAATCAGAAATTGGTCATTAATATTATAACACTTCTGAGGAATTATAAGAAAATTTAGACAGACATTACTATTAACAAGGCTTAAGATAAATTGCTAACATTGCAAGTCTTCACAAAATCAAATACAAAATAGGCACAATGAATTTTTCAATTTTGAGTGATTAGTAGAATTAGTTGCTAGGAGATGTTCTATTCTGTGGGTATCTTTCACGGAAATTTTATAAAATCCTCATCAGACATTTCTTGACAATTAATATGTAGATTGGCTGAAAATTTTTATCACAGGAGCTGGTACAAATTTTCAGCGACTGTTTTCAGGCCAACAGAACATACTTTAAAACAAAGTTATTATTTGTATTTAACCCTGTAGATCTTCAGTTGTACTTGAAACATTTTGTAAATATTTCTTTTCTGCTTTCATAACATAAAGAAGTTTTTTTATGATTCATTTCAACAGAAATAAAGCAGGTATTAAGATTTTAAATTTGTAGCTTGGTTAAAAAGCTTTGTTAAAAGCAAAAAAATTACATTAAATAAAATTTCACAATGTCTGAATTGTTTTATCTTTTCTAGGGATAACGTTTTTTTATATCCTGCTTTAGACCTGTTTCATGGCTCCAGTAACATCAGGGACACTAAGTTCCTATTATTTGAAGTATACAGTTACAGAAATCAAAGTAATTAAAAGAATAATGGAAGCAGACACTCCAGAACACACTTACTATCCTATGCCTTCCTCCTAGTTAAACTGATTATTATAGGAAAAAAATCCGGGCAAAAGATGACCTAAATAACCCCACAAATAGCATGGCAAAAATGACATAGCCTCAAGCTTTAGGCTGAAGTGGCACAGTTTTTCCACATTGTGAGGCTAGATATCAGGAGAAAACTAAAGTATTAAGCAAAAATTCTGACGAAAGATAGAATTGTACCTTGTCTATATAGGCCCAAGGAAAAAGTTGACAGAGGCAAGAGAGAGGGGGAGAGAAGAGACTGCAGAAGAAATTTAAAGAAATAGGCCTTTCTTGGGTTGCTTTTGTAGGAAAGTTAAATTTAGGTTATGGGGCTTTTTTATTAATACATGCATTTATTTCTGAAGCACTCATGTACTTAGTATACGGTGTTTTAAAGGAGGCTGTCCTGTAAACTATTACTGCTCCCAGCAAAGGAACCGATAATTTAAAGCATTTGATTGAATCAGGTGTGTTTCGGAAACCACTGTGAGTACTGGGAGAACTCAGAACAATGAGCCGCTTACAAGTAAGAGAACAGTGTGATTGTTCCTGGAGTCAGATGCTGCCTTCAGGCCTGAGACCTGCAAGGGAACCAATTAGGCAACACCCAACAATTTGCACAAGTGACAAATGCATCTTGGTACGGTAAAACAAAAGAAATTTCTAGAATTTCCATGAATAGGAAACTCTCTGGAAATTCAGGCCAAAGACCTGACAAAACAGCCCCCGAACAACAATATTTTTGCACAACTGTAAAGGCTCTGCACAAAAGTGCCAAGGTCTCTGAAGAGAGTCAAGGGACTTGCTGAAAATCAGTAGGAGTCAGACACCTAACACCCACTACAGCCTAGAGTTTTTTTTGGAGTAACACATTCTCCAAGGAAAACTATTTTAATACATCTGGGCAACTCTCAGTGAGAGAAAACATTAAAAATTGGCAAATAAATTGAGCCTGAGGAAAAAAAATTACACACAGATACACTCACTTGCATTTCTACACAGAATTTAGCATGTGAATGTTCCTTATTCGATTTTCAATTTCAGGTTTCTAGTTCTCTTGCAAACAGAGATTAGCACAGACATAAAAATGCTGTTTTCAGAAGACAACTTCAACTAAGATATGATGTCATGATAAATGACATTTAACACTTAATCACATCCCCATTTGCTACGAAATGTATTTCACCTTTGTGATCCTTTCAGAATAAGTTTTAAAATTACAGATTTGAAAGGTAATTAGATTTCATTTGAAAGGATGGACAGAATAATTTGAAGAGATTCAGTCTTTTAAATAGGAACAGTAGAAATATTGGCAAGCATGGCAGTTTATCATCTCATATTACAATCTTTATGTGAGTTCAAATAATTTTTCCTCAAGAATCTGAGTTATAGCACCTTTTGATTATTTATACTCTGACTTTAACCATCTGCAGGAAACTTCAAAGTATAATTGGAAAATACACGATTTAGTGCAATAAACAATAAATCAATGCAATCTTAATTTTGAGTTACTTACAGTCCATAGGCAGAGTTCACAGCAAGACTGGTAATCTGCTGTGGAGGCTCACCATCCACCCACACCAACTGAATTACGAGATCTGCTTGGTATCCAGGAGGCATTCGCACAGGTCGAGTCTTAACACTAGGAAGAAGAGGCACAAAATGAGAACAAACAAACAAACAGACTGGGCCATAAATAACAACTGCTTCTCTTGAGAAAACACTAGTCAAGCACAATCCCTTAGTAACTCCAGAGCAGCACCAGCACTTGCAGCACACGTACAGGGAGACGAGGCATTCCGATCAGAACAACGGTGTTTTGGAGGAATTCCAGGTTTTGACTTTCATTTGTGTTGCAGAAACCAATCTGAAAACTTCAACACTCCCTACAAGAGCAGCTGTAGAGAAGATGTAGGTGGGAGTCAATAAAAATAATTTTTGCTTAATCGTTTTGGTTTGATTTTCCTTTTGCAGAGTATTTTCTTACGCTATATGATGCACACTTAAAAATTAATAATGAATAATCAATTTGAAAGGAAAAGCTAAAATACTTTCTTCTGAAACTTTGAAACAGGATATTTCTGTACTTTTGGTACTTTTTTTGCTGTGAAGTGAAGCATGACAGAAAAAAGCAAAGAGGCAAGAGAAGATGAGAAGATGTACCCTTCTGCAGCGGACCCCACCATTGCATATTCAAGACTTATGGACCTGACAATTCTATTTGTCCATTTAGTGCAAACAAGTCCTGTTTCCTTCTTAGGAGAATAATCACCTAATATGTGATCTGGTCTTAATGAATGAATGCTTCCTACGTAAAATCTGATATAATTGTTAACACCTCTTCATACTTCATATTCTGTTACGGCAAGTTCAGTGATTTGCAAAGTAGGTGGTGAAGGTGTATGTATTAAGGGGGAGAGTAAGAACCGAACACTTCCATATGACTGCTTTATGTGTGTTCTTGACTGGTAGAACCTAACATGATGATACACTGAAAGAAGATATTATGCAATAATGGCAATACTTTGAGGTATTCGTGTTATTCATTGGAGTTATTGGAGTTCCAACAAATATCTGTCAAGGCAATGCATTTATCCTTTTCTTCTAAACAAACTACCGTGAGACTGACAATGGCTGCAGAATTAATTCTGATCTTCTAAACCATGTTTTTATTATACTATTTTTCCAATGTGCTTTTAAAAACATGCTGAAAATATTAAGAGAACTTGAAGTGCCTTCTAAGTTTTCTTTCAGCTTGTTGCTATCTGAGCAAAAAAAGCAAACACCTTTCTTTCTATTTTTCACTGCAAATTTGAGGATCTTCTTTGGTAAAATGGATGTTATTTCACAGGGATTTTCTCTAAGCATAAATAAGTTGTAGTTGGTGAAAGACCGTGAGACTGGAATAAAATCGTTTCAGATGTCATGATTTGGTTTGTCATTCCCATGTTCCCGTGACACCTTCCATTTTAAGAAAAACATCTTTAAGGATGTTGAAGCCATTTCCCTGGTTTCACTAACCATCTTGCTTGAACAGTAATGTTGATAATGTTCTTCACCTTGTTTTGGATGGCTTTTTTTGAAGTATTTGTATTATAAGGCTAAACAGACTGAAGGAGTATGCGCAGAAGGATGTAGATACTTCAGTGATTTCCTTTACAAGTTCGTGTTATACTACACTGAATTTGATCGTTGCCAAGTTTTGTTTTTCAGTTTTCCTCATGAGATAATCACAGGCAGTTCATTATCATTTTGGAGCTACTTGGAGCTACTGTCAAAACCCTGGATTGACCTCATTCTGGGATGATACTAAAAGTCTCGAACAAAGACTTACATTCTGGGTACAGCTTTTTGACAACAGCGTTTACGTCAAAAATATTTAACTGGCTAGTAACAAATAAATCAGTTTCTTATATTATTATAGCTGCATATTTGATTATAAAGTCTTCTGAAATAAGCAAGAACAGTATTTATTCCACACTGCTGCTTGACTCTCTTGGTAGTGTTTACTTTTGATTTCAGAAAAATGCCAAGTTTTAATTGCTTCAGCCCCTTCAATCACTTGCTTTCTAGTAACTATTTGCAGGCACAAACACATTTGGTCATCCTGACTTCTGACTAGCAAAAATTACGTCGTGTGGAGTGCCACCCATTTGCTGTAACAAGATTGAGAAGCAGATATGAAAGTAAACACAATGGAGCCAGGATTAAAAGCTAGTTTGCATATACAATTTTATGTATATACAACTATCAATATACTTCAAGTTGTGCACTCGCCCTCCATTTGTAGGTGGCTGCAGCTTTATGTTATCACTGTATCTTACATTCTGTACTGCTGCCGACCTGAATGACTTGCATATAAAGTCAACAGCATCACCCAGGTCTCCACTGGGTTTTCTGTGTTTCCAGCACTACTTTCATCTCATCATCATAGTTCTTAGAGCAGAAGTTTTTTGACAGAAAAGGAATATGGACCCGCTTAGGGATTCGGGGCAAAGCGTGGCTATTTATATGACTTCCCTTATTGAAAAGGATGAGAGTGTACACACTATACTTCTTTATAAAGGTAAGAGGGAGTATGCCAGCAGTTCTAGTGATATAATTACTTTGACTTTGAAAAATCACTTCTCTGCCAAAATAAGTTTATATTTACTTTGTGTAAAATGGGACAAAAATCAGTTGGCCAGCTTAATGTGAGATTATATGGAGTTAAGCAAACTTCTAAAAACTAACCAGCAGAATCTCTACTGCTTCATTACAGCTTTTTTGTATCCAAGATGATTAACAACTCCTCTCCTCCCCAGACCAAATCAAATAAGGATCCCTTAAGGGAAAATCTTAGCTACTGAAATAATTGATCGCTTTCTTGCTGATTTCAATGTCGTAAATAGATTTCACATTGGGATTTTTTAATAACTTCTCTCTACCTCTTCTATAGATTTTCATGGTTTACATTAATGATTAAACTGAGGTCTGAGGTTCAACTGCCTGACTGCATGAGGTGGGCAAATGAACAGGATGCCAAAAAAATACTGTTAACTTTGCAAGAACAATGTCACGATATGGCTTTTAAATGCTAACACTGTTTTCGGGAGCTCAACAGACAAAGTATCTGCAAAGTCAGGCAATGTTCATTTAAACCGCTTTTGAAATAATTGAGGCATTTAAAATATTTAGTAATAATTAGACTGAAATAATAATGAATTCACTGAAATGAGAGCAATTGTTATCAGCAGTGCACTATAATTGCTGGAAAATTACAGTTTATGGAGTTTGGTACAGAATTCTGTTTTGAGACTACTCAAACCCATAATTTATCTGCCTTATTAGTAAGAACATATTAATCTACTCCAAACAGTGGCAATGTGTACCCTAGCAGACAACAATTTGCTTCTTTCTAAAGATTAAACATATATACACTTCCACACAGTGAAACTGTTTCATAATTGTATATTTTAAAGATTGTTTCTTGAGTATGAATGCCATTTCCATCCCTTACACACCATAAAATGCGTATAATTCTTTCACAAAGAAAGATTTTAGTGTTATACTAATTAATCAAGGAGGGAAAGCTTTGCACATGTCTGCTTTATAGAAATCTCTTTCCAAACTGAAAAAAGGTTCCTCAGAAATTCCTTGATTTATTCTGTAGTGCTTGTTTTCCATTCAAAATAGTGGGTATGAGATGAAGATTTGCTTCTAGATCATATTGGAAAACTACAGTCGAACCTTTACTGTAATTGTTTATCTTCTCCATAATTACTTCTAGCCCTTTAAAATACCTTGTTAATTATTTTGCCTTAATTCTTTTGTTTGTTTCATATTCTGGTTTCTCTTTTTGTGTCACATACATACGATCAACCTCTTTTTCGTGTTAGTTGACTGATTGTTAATAGAACAGAAAGGAATGCTTTTTAGAAAGATAAATCTTTGAACAATGGCATAGACTTACCTAAGACATGGGATACTATCCTTCATCGTACCTTCGCATGCTACAGTGTTGGTACTGCCTGAAAGGCTCTTTAAAGAAGGAAACTGGGAGGAGGCATCTGGAAATGGAGGAATTATTTCCGGTTCAGGAGTAATGATATCTTCTACTTCATACTGAAGTCGTACCTCTAATGACTTAAATAAATAAAAAGCTAAGTTATAATTTAATAAAGCAAGCTGCTGAAAGTTCTGTTACTTTCAAATAGCTATCAGTAAGCCTTTTTTAAAAAACATCCCCCCCCATTTATCATTATCATTTGCAGGCAAAGAATACTGTCATTTGTTATTTATACAGCCTAACAGCAACACCAGATAGGAACTAGTCATCTACCCTGCGCTGACGGAGAAATACATAGCTATATTCTTCCAGCCATGACTTTGATTCAAGCCTTTTATTGTAAGTGAAAGGGAAGAATACCAGTTTCCACAAAAGAGAAGTTAACCACTCACCCCCAAATAAATAATATTTCAGCATAAGTAGGTACTATTCAGGATAGATGTCATGAAAATTTTCTGCCTATTGTCCTATCTTTTTCCTAAGCAAATTCATTACAAAAATGATTGTCAGCTGTGCTTCCTTATTGCTAGTACAACAGCGTCTCTACATGAGAGGCTTTAGCCAGGATGCAGAAGCCTGAGAGTGTGGGTAGTACTGATGAACAAACTTCATTTGCCCATAGGTGGGGGTCAGGAAATCAGAGATAACAGCACAGAGTTCCGTATTCCTTAGACTGAACATGAGTTTGGCAGATCCTAGAAAGCAAAGTTCAAACCAGTTACCTTTTCCTTTCCTTCTGGGCTCTCCAGATAGGGGAAAGGAGACCACCCAGGCCCAACCACCCTTCAGTTCTTTTCACTCATTCAGGAAACCTTACCTGAAGGACTCCAAAACACAGGGGAAACTGGAGAGGGAGCTCAAATCTATATAAGTAATCATCTCAAAGCATCACCGTAAATATTGGGCAATTCTTTCTACCTCATGAATTGTCCAAGGAGATCCCTATTTTGAAAAGAATAAGAAACAAGGTACAGCCCTCAAAGAGATGAGGTGTTGGGATGCTAGCTGCATAGTAATTGCAGTGCCGGTACCTTGAAGTGATCAGAAGCAATTGCAGATGTAGACACTGCAAACTCCATCTTAGTTACTGATCTCTCACTGAGACATCATCTGTACCAGAATGGATATGACAGTATTATGAAAATAGCTAAGTTTTATGAGAATCGGGAGATAAAGATCAGTACTGAAGGCCCTCCTGTTCCTCAACCATTGCGTTAAAACACAGAAGGTTTCAGAACAAAGTGATTCTGATCAATCAGAAAAGAAAGGGTCCTTTTTCAAAATTTCACTTTTGTTTTCTCTTGCAAAATCCATGGATTTTTTTTTACCTGAATCAGCTAAGAAACCTATGGACAACATTTGCCTTCAGAGACTAATGAGGGGAATATTGAGTTCAGGAAAATCTAATCCCCTGGAAGTAACTGCTGCTGACCTAAACAATTTATAATGCTGTTTCATCTTCATACAGGACCGGAATAACTGTTGAGGAGTGTGTTATTCTGCTTGCCATGTTAGAAGTGTATTCATCATTCTTTGGATGTCTTTCTCTGTGTCTTCCTTTTTCTATTAAAATTAATTTTGTTAAGTTCTAGCTATTGTCCATTTGCAGAGAGAGGAAAAATTTAGGCTAATAACATGACTGTGAATTTGTTTTACATTGTGGTCCCTTCTTTGACTGGACCTTAAAACAGACAAGGTATAGACCTGTTGTACAAATTTATTTTGACACATGGTAAAGATCTTTTTGGAGGATCCTATCACTAGGTGCGTTAATTTTCCTTTCTACATTCAAAGTAGTGTAAATTTCTTCTCTATGGTTCTTCTGAAGAGCTTTGAAGATGAGCTTCACTGACGGAAGACTGATCCCTGAGAAAGTGATCATGTTTAATAGATACCTAGATATCCCTTTGAGACAGGATGGAGTGGATGCAGATAAGAAAAGAACAACAACAGCAGCAAATGCTTTTTACATAACTGCATGGCAATGACTCCAAGGTTAGGTACGAAGCAGAATTTGTCTCATGCGTACTACTTGCCTCCAGGATCTGATATTGAATGATGCAAATAACTCTTCTATTGAGGAAATCCCAGTCACAACCTCTAAGGCATATTCATCAGCACACTTCCCTGCTACATGGAGAAACCTTTGAGTAGCCTCCATGGTTCCCATTTACCACAGCGATAACATTACAAGACTGTTGTCAGGCAGTCAAACCAACGTAGGGTCCTTAAAATTCTGGGGTTGGTAGGTTGGACTCAAGGTGAGTTCAGCCTGGCTGCTAGAGAAGGGAGGACACTGAAGTGCTAGAAGTTGGGCTCACCTCAGGCAGCAAAGAAATCCTGAGACTGACCAGCTCAGTTTCAGTATAGACAAAGCCAGGCAGCCTGAAGTAAGGTACACATTGCAAACAAAAGTCCCATACTTTTTATTAAAAAGTCCCCTACCATTTAAGAGTGAAGACTTGAATGCTTGCAGCAAAAATGCAGAAACCAAGAGATGAGGCCCATCTCAGGGCTGCACAAAACCCAGGGGAACTCAGTGACTATGCCACCAAGATTAGGTCATACAAAAGCAACCCTTCAGAGAACGATTCCTCATATAAATGGTTCTTAATTACAGATGAAATCTGAGAAACTGTTAAATTGCACACATTATAACACTTTAGAAAATACCAGTTCTGATGCAATTCATCCACAAAAGTACAAGACAGAACAATAAAGAAATTAAATGATAGGTAATAAAAGATAAGGTGCATTTGCTATGGAACAATGTAAGAATACTGAAATGTAGTAATTTTGGTAGCATTATACATGAGCTGGTCAGTAAGGTGAAATTAGTGCGTATTAGTTTTATAACTTTCCTGAAAGAATATGCTCAGCTAGCTTAATAATTGCCTCTGGGGGGAAAAAATGAGAGGAAAACAACAGAACAGCTATATGTAACGAACTTCCTTACCAGATGGCACATGGCTACAGGCCAGAAGTGACACAAGTTTTTGCCAGGTTAGAACTATAGACTTTCTAAAGTACACTAAAATAGCGTGAAAAGGAAAAGAACTGTAATCAGGGAAAGTGGAAAACGGAAGGGAAATTTTGTGTCAGCCCCTGGGGTTTGCTGCGAGCTGGCAGATGCAATGAAATCCTTTCTGGCAAGAGAGCGTCCGGAGTTGCAAACTGTTCTCCCGCGCCAGAGAACGGCAAGCCGGAGGGGGAGGCAGTCATGTTTAGTCTGGCGTTGCCTTCAGAGTAGCCTCCTGTTAAACTTCTTAGACTTAAGAATTATAAATGCTGTTCAGCCACATTGTTCGCAGTGGTTGTGGCTCCTGTGCAAAAATGCAGGGTTTAAAGCAAAGTCAGACTTGCTGTACAACAGCGGTAGGTACCAGGTTCTGCCTGAACCAAGGTGACTGCTTAAGATACGGAAACAGAAAAACGAGTATATGAACAGGATCAAGCAACAGAAAGCTTAGGAAAACATCAAGTGCTTAGCCATAAATAATCTGGTATGTCATATAGCATCCATTTTTAGGGAAACAAAGTTTGCGTAAGCAAGCAAAAAAATCAACTCTTTTTATTTTCTTGAAGCCAATGATAATTTTCAGTCCCCTTGTGGTATAAACACTATAAAGGCACATTAAAGAGATTAAATACTTGAGTTAAAAACAGCATTACTATGTATACACTCCGTGTACATTATCTGATAAAAACATACAGCAGCCAGTATTTTTAGAGCAGGTAAGTACACAGAGATTTAATGTATCATAAAGTCTAAAAGCAGATTTTTCCTAAAAGCTGAAATCTGTACTGTATATTACCATTAAAGCAAAAAAGTGGAGAGTTGGCTTCCAAAACTCAGTTATATTTTTGTCACTAACAAAAGTAGGACAAATCCTAAGTAGGATCAAGATTTCACTCAAAAGGTTTAAAATTGAATGTCCCTAAACCTATACTTATACAGATTGATATTAATTTTATTCAACTATATAAGCACGGACACAGCAAGGCAATTTGATTTAGAAGTTATGTTCTGTTTTAAGAGAGTAAAATTCTGAAGGACTTACTGCAATTTCAGTATTTACTTCATGTTTGCTGAACCTGTAAACGACCACATATGCAGAAACTCCTGCCACACAGAAAATTCGGCTTTCAGGACACCAGCACATCATCTGAACAGCAAAAGGATCTTCTTCCACAATCTCAGCTGTTGCTTTTCCTTCTCCCAGTTTCTGTTTTTCAAAGACCTTTGATGTTTTTAATTTGTACAACATCTGTAGAGTAACTGGAATATATTAAAACATATAAAAAATACTGACTAACATTAAGCAAACCAGTTACAAAATTCCTCAGTTCCCATTTTCTTTTCAGTTGTGGCATAACAAGGAGCCTTATGCAGGCCTAGAGAAGACGGGTATTATACAACGTAGATATTATTCTGGTACATAGTACCGGTAGGATATGTATTTAATATTTCCAAAAAGAATATTTGCCTGTTGAATACTTCTTAGTACTTTCTGGGACAAGATGTCAGAGGTGAATGTTAACCATCGTGTCCATCATGAGGCTTATACTCAGCGTTATAGAGAGGCTCTGATAATGTTGCTATTTTCCTAATGAGATGTGAAACTAAGATTTCATTTGTCTGATGTTATTGTTTTGCTAGAACACAAAGACTGCATAGCACTTTAAGGGAAAACATTAGGAAAGTGTTCTGGGGGTCTGGGCAACACAAAGACTTTCTGAACAAGCAGGAGTTCTAAAATGTGTTGAATTTCTTGGCCAATAAGTATATCTGTATTTATACTTTTATATTTATAAACCCTAAATATCCAGAAGCCTTTGTCAAGACTAGAACTCCACTGCAATGAATTCTGGAGGTAACGGAGGTATTATAACTAACTCCATTTTGTTTTATTGACATTCCTCCCTGTTTATTACTACTTTACATTAATTTATCAGTGGCATTAATTAATAACTGCATAAGGTCAGAAGAGGTCAGTCAGGCCCAGGACCTATAAAGGTGTGTGTATATACATGAAGGCAAAGCTGTTCCATACATTAGTGTAATTGTGGTAGGTCAGTCTAGCTAGTTTGTGTAACAAGAGCAACAAAAAGATGGAAGAACGGTGTTTTAGTTATGTAACCAGATGACAAACACACTGAAATTACATCTTCATTTTGCAGTGCAGATATATTGCAGGAGTTTTAGGATATAACGTTTTTTATATTTTTAAAAGTTTTAGCATATAAAACGCTCCCAAATTTCCGCAAACTACAGCAAGTGCTTCTGTAATGAGTACGTAATTCTTCCTGCCTTCTGTGGTGGTGGAAGAGGCCTCAGGATGCCCTTAGTCCCAGTGGCAAATCTAGAGTGGCACTTTAAATAAGACATCATGGGTCCATGCATGCCAGGACTAGAAAAATTACAGAATCATAAGGCACAAGTACAAGGCGAGACTTTCTCTGCTTCTGAGAATTACTAGGTACCATCTGCAACAAGGACAAACAAGAACCAGCGATGGCTTTTGAGTAAAGATATATTTGGAAAACTGCTTCAGTGGTTTAGCAATTCCCTGTCTCCCACAAATCTGTGTTTTCAGATGCAAAATTACACAATTAAAATATGTCTAAAAGCGAGGTATTTTGTGCCTTCAAATACCAGTAGGATATTATGTTTGCTATAAAATCTCAAATGAAATTTGAACCCTATTAAAAAAGTTAAGACTTTGTAACAATTAAAACTTTGTAAATAAAAAGTACCAAGTACAGTACCAGTAATGCAGTATATGCCCCACAAAGCAGGATTAAGACCAGGACATCAGAGGTGCAATGAAAGTACCACTACTGTTGAAGGGATTGTGAATATTCATGATCATTTATGCTTT